ATGGTGACCTTCCTAAGTAAAATCATATGCAAAAATAAGGATTTAAGTGGTTTTTTTATGGGGGATTAACAGAGAAGTACAACCAATTTTTCCTTAAAAACCTTTTTTTCCCCTGCTTATACAGTTTCATCACCATAATGTCAGACACTTATGACATGCTCTCCAAATTCATTTGGCAGCTGAGGTCATACCTGTGGATATTCTCTACATCTGTGATAACATGACTCAAAAGTTCACACCTGCAGAAATGGTGTATTCATCTCACATTAGGCCTACTTCTTCTCTCACCAAGGTCTTTGGGAACTTCTCCATTGGTTTTATTCAAAGCATGAAAAGGAAAGAAACTTAAAGTAAGCAAGGAACATAAGGTACAAACAAGGTACAAGCCAGTAAGGGTTACACTGTTGAAATAAATTTCACATTCCTATGAGGCAGAGCCCCGAGTACTGCCATATTCTGCAAAATAAACAAAAAAGGGCCTGCTCCAGAAATACTTTTATGATCAGAAATCGTTTGAACACATTGAGTCAATGCACTTTCATTGGATATGCTTCCAGCTGCTTCACACAATATAATCTCTGCTCAAGTACTCACAAGCCAGAGCCAGAGTCTTCAGAGCCAAGTGGATATTTCATTTTGCAAGCTTTTCCTTTGTTTAAAGTGAATTTTGTGACAGTTCTTTAAAAAAGTGACTGGAAAGACAAAAATAAGACACAAGGAAATGGAATGAAGCTGCATCAGGGCAAGTTCAGACCAGACATTAGGAAAAGTTCTTCACTGAGAGAGCGCTTGGTCACTGGAACAGCCTCTCTAGGGAGCTGGTCATGGAACAGGCATCAAGCCTGTCAGAGGTTAAGAAACCTCTGGACAATGCTCTTAGCCATATGGCTTAGCTTCAGGTAGTACTGCAAGGAGCAGGGAGTTGGACTTCATGATCCATATAGGTCCCTTTCAATTTGAGATATTCTATATATGGTTCTATATAGAAATAATATCTACAGAGATGTTATGATAACCCTAAGGTTTTTTTGCCAACTTTAAGTATTTGTCTCCTTTCCCCTATATTGTGGGGAATAAGCTGATAGCTGGAGGGCAGGACTGCCACTCAGAGGGATCTCAGCAGCCTGGAGAAATAGGCTGACAGGAACTTACTGAAGTTCACCAAGAACACATGCAGAGTCCTGCAACTGGGATGGGGTAAACTCATGCTGAGGGCTGACTGCCAAGAAGGCAACATCGCAGGAAAGGGTCTGAACGTCCTGGCAGACAGCAAAGTGAGTATCAGCCACAAATGTGCCTTTGCAGCAATGAAGGTTAAACACATACTGGAGTGTATTAGCAACAGTCAAGGGAATTGGTTATACCCCTCTAAATGGCACTAGTGAGAGTATTGTGTCTAGCTTGGGGCTCCCCAGCTGATCTACTGGAGTGAGTCCAGCAGTGGGCCACCAAGGTTATTGTAAGAAGAGGCAAATGAATTTGTTCAGTTTTAGAAAGCAAGGCTGAGAAGAGGAAACCTTATTTCTGTTTTCATCTATCTAATGAGAGGGTACAGAGAGGAAGGAATCATATTCTCAAAAGTGAATGGGGATGAGAGGCAACAGGCACAAACTGTAACAACAGAAATCCCAAATGGATACCAGGAAAAAAATTTCATGAATGGTTGGTTGAAGATTGGAACTGCTGCGCAGAGAGTCTGTAGCATCTCCATCCTTGGAAATATTGAAAACTTGACTGGACAAGATTCTAGACAATGTAACATAACTTTAAAGTTGGCCCTGCTTTGACAAAGAAGTTGGAGCACATTATATTCAGAAGTTATTTCCAGTCAGAATTATTCTATCACTGCATGAAAGTTTAGAGTGGTTTCTGTGTAAATCTGTTTTCATCACTATTAAAGGGCTCTTGAATTTGTTGAATGCTGTATATGATGCATGGCAAGGTGGCATAACAATTCAGATGCTTCATTTGAATGTGTTTCTGGCCCACACACAGCTTCACTAGCTCTATGGCATGGTTAGCCATTCAGAGAGAAAAGTATATTTATCCCAATGTCACAAATAAGTTAACATTTTAAAAAATTCCAACCTGTCATCTTTCCTTTGCATTACTCACGGGATTGTAGAAGGAGAGAGCTGATTTTCAGACATTTGCATAGAGAATTCAGCTTAAAAATTTTATTTGAAGTCAATATGCAAACCTTTAGAGGTCTACACACCATCAAAGAAAAATGCCTGGCTTGGACCAGATGGACCACAGGCTAGGAGATTTGGGGAACTTGCCCAGGCTCTGCCAGGCCTGAACATTACTTCCTTTGAGAAGTGAGGCTTCACTTCTGACTCAAAAGTGAATATGATCCTCTTTCCCAAAGAGAACTGAAATCAAAACATATTTATACTTTTCAGTATGAAGAGGCCATATCACACCTATTTTACTGTTGTATCCTTACAGCATTCTTGTGCCAGAGGCAAGCATCCACAGAATTTCAAACAGCACACAGATCTGTTTTGAGTGGTGAGCTGTTAAGCTGTCTCCCCAAATGTCTGATCTGAGCTTTTCCTTGTCATCTAGCAGAGATAATCATTTAAACACTAACAAGACCACACATACTCCCTTACATTTCTCCCTCATGTTTTGTGCAAAATAGTGACTGCAGTGTGGAGACAGAGGACAAATACTGCATTCTCTCTGTTTGAGTTTTAGTCTATGATATTTTTCAAAGTCTTTGGGTCCAGTAAATGGTGCAGCTTCTCCAAGAGTATACTCCATAACCTGTGAGGGGTAGAGGGTTACATGTCAAGTTCTGCTCATGTCCCTCTTCTCACTTCTGTCGTCTTTGGGTGGCAGGTCCATTAAAACCTTAGTGAGGGAAATGAGTGCTGGAGTGCCTGCCTGATGAAAAAACGTAGGTCATCCAGCAGACAAAAAATAGTATAAAGAGATTGTCCTCAAGTTGCAGGAAGGGAGAATGAACTGAAACTGGACAAGTCAGATACGGTTCAGTTCACCAAACAAAGTAGTGGGAATCTCACCACCTCAGGCTTGGCTTTGCCTAGAATGTCTGAATGTAGATGAACAGTACCAACACACAGGGCTTATGAAAAAAAAACCAAAACCAAAACCACCCACCTGGATTTTAATAGACCTTTCATTTCTCTTTTATTTTTTTGTTTAAAGTTATGACCTCTGCAATATAACCAGGAAGCAAAGCAAAGCAAACGGAAATGCATGCAAGAAAGACCCACAAGGTTTCCATTATATTGTAATGGAATGGTGAGTTATTAGTGTCAAGTTTTTTTTTTGACCTAAGAGAGGTTTACTGTTCCTCAAAATACTTACAATATCAACCCTGGACATGACTAAAAAAAGAGATAGGAAAAATAACCAACTTGTCCCAAAGAAGGTGTATATTTGATGTTTAATTTGTGGTAGATATTTTTCCAAATCTACTTCAGGAGGCACTTAACATACTCTTAGCATCCCTGTTCACTAATCTACTTTTGGTTCTGTAGACTATATTAACAAACAGCTTTATCATAAAAACTTGTAAGTGTCACAACATCTTTACATTTGTCATGTCTGTACACAAGGAACCTGAAGCAAACACAGGTATTGTTTGAACTCAGCTCTCAGGATATTGTTTAATAATCAAAAACTGAACAAGCTCGAAAGGCTTATTTTCCAAAGCTCTGCAACTGCCTTCAGTTGCATGCCAGCTGGTTTCTAGTATGAGCCAGAGAGATGACAGCCGATCAACCCCACTAGCCACGTATGATGACTAACCGGCTTTCTCCTGCTAAGTTCCAGTACTGCACTGCTCTCACGGCTTGCCCTGCCTACCTGCTCCATTTCGCGGGTCACTGTGAGACTTACAGATCTCAGGAGTGCTGCTACATCAGAAGGCACAGACAGAGCCTTGCTACAGAGGAGAGACTTCCTACATACTCTTGCTACATTCCCCTCACCTCTGTTTTCTTAAAGCAGGTTTGGCACACCCAACCTTTCTGCACATTTGGGTGATAACTGCGTGCAACAGACCTCCCAATACTTTTTTTTTTTAAGAGTTAGACACGGTCAAAATGACACAGCAAGAGAAGAAGGGCATAAAATTCCTATGTCCTCAAATTTAAAGATGCTTGGGCCTGTCCTTTCATTTTTCCTCCTGACAGCATCCCAAACGCCTGGCAATTCGCGGAGGCGCCCCGGGGCATGTCCCCGGCCCCCCAGGCAGGCAGGGGTAACACACAGCAGGCCAGCGGCAGGGCTCGCTTTCGGCCACTGCCCAGGTTCTTTTCTCTAACAAATGGTTCCGGGGGAGAAATATCCTTGATGTGTTTAAGGAGCAGAAGGTAGGTTGTGAACCTTCCAAGCGGGAGCCTTGTCTGGCAGGATCAGCGTGCTCTGCCGGGGCTGGGACGGCGCTGGCTCAGCCCAGGGGCAGCAGGGACAGCGCACTGCGGGCGGCGACCTCCGACCCCCCGGTAAGGGAAACGCCTCCCGGGCGGCAATTCCCGGGGCCGACCGCGGCCAAGACCACGGGTCGCGGCCGAATCGCTGCGGGAGCCGGGGGCGGCCCCGCCGGGATCAAGCTCCGCCCGCCGCGCACCTGCCGCGGGCCACCCCCGGCGCAGGAGGCGGGCGGGGACGGCGGCCGCCCGTGCCCGGCGTATGCCAGGAGCCCGCCGGTGCCGCAGGAGGAGCAGGAAGCGCCCGGGCGAATCCAGCCGCGCTATCACATGACTCAGCAGCCGCTGCCGCCGGGCTGAGTTCACCCAGCGCCGCGCCGGGAGGGGGAAACCTGCAATGAGGCCGCGGCCCCGCGGCTGCCCCTGAGCCCGCCGTTCCCCCGCCCTGCTGTGCGCGGCCCGGCGACCCCATTGCGGGAGCGCGGCGGGCGCTGCCGGAGCCGCCGCCGCCGCAGCGCTGCCCGCCGGCGAGACCCGCAACCCGCCCCGCGCGGCGGCCCCGGCGCTGCCGCCGCCGCCGGCGGGGGTACTATTATGCTCACGCGGGTGAAGTCCGCCGTGGCCAATTTCATGGGCGGCATCATGGCTGGCAGCGCGGGCGCCGACCACGGCAGTGGCGCGGACTTGCCCCTCCGCTTCCCCTACGGGAGACCCGAGTTCCTGGGACTGTCCCCGGACGAGGTGGAGTGCTCCGCCGACCACATCGCCCGCCCCATCCTCATCCTCAGCAAGGACACCCGGCGCCTGCCCTGGACCACGGGCTACGCGGAGTGAGTACAGACCGCGGCCGCCGCGGCGAGCAGGTGGAGCGCGGCCGAGCCCGCTGCCCCCGCTCCCGGCGCAGCGGCGGCGAAAGGCGGCGATGCCGCGGGACCTTCCCCCGGCGGTGCCGGAGCTGCCGGAGGCGGCGGGAGCGCAGCCCGGGGCCTGCGCGGCGCCGCGGGCAGCGGGAGCGGCGGGGTAAGCGGCGGGGTGGGCGGCATCCGCGGCGCCGCGTGTCCGGCCCCGACTATAGCTCTGCACCTGGGCAGCTCCTTCCTGGGAGCCCGAGGATGCGCATGGTCTGCTGCCCTTGAAAGTCCCCGCGGGAGTGGCCGGTACCCGGACGGGCGAAGGATGGCAAGGAGCAGCACCTGGCTCCTCGACTCGTAGTGACGGCTTTGGGGGCTCAAGGTCCGAGGATGGGGTCGCCGTCGGTGAACAACAGTCTCGGTCCTTGACCCTGGAATGAAAAGGGCCTTTGGAAGGAAACAGGGTTTGGTTTGTGCGTGTGTAAGTGCTTCCCGCTGCCCAGGAATGGTGAAACGTGTGCGGTTTGGGACACCTTCCTGTGGACCTGGCAGCCGACGCACTTGCTAGTGGTGGCTGATCACATATTCCCAAAGTGCTTTCCAGTTTGAGTAGACACTTGAGGGACACAAGCTCCAAACTGAAAGAAAAATCCATGGACAACCCCGAAGCTGGACTGGCTTTCCCAGTGGTTTGTTTCCCTTACACACTCATATCATGATATTTACTTTAGAGGGTGTCTGATCAGGACCTGGTTGTAGCCTTGCCAGCCAGGCAAAAGGCAGTGTTTGTTTGGATGCATCCAGCTGGCAGTGGGAGTAGTTTCGGAGTCAAGGCATGTCCTTGCACTTGATTGCTATATCCGTAAACACATTGTTTTCCTTGATGATAATGGGTGCAGGATTCAGTATTTGTTTTCTTTCTGTTACTGTCTCTAAGTCTTGAGCATGAATCGCCATCCGTGTTGCTACCAACTCTGAGATTACAGAAATTAAACTAAACTACAGACTACAAGCTGTTTTGCTATAGTCTCTTCAGGCATACATGAATTCCCCAAAAAACTATTGCAAAAACTACAGTGAAGTCTTCACATTGTTAATGAGCAGTCACTAGCTTTATTTAAGAGCTTGTTCTGTCATTGGGGATGCTGAAATTGGATGAGAGATTTAAAGAATTTTAAATTTGATTGTTCCCCTCAGATTATTAAAGAATTGAATAGACTACTGGGCAAATTCCCCAGGAACTAAAATTTTAAATATTTTAAAGTAAGCTCTAATTGTTCTGCCACTATAATAGTTCCTTAAAAAGCAATTCTTTACTAAAACAAATACATGCTGTTATTTTTAGGTGAGGTGAGGTGCTGTGGCTTTCAGCAAGTAACTGTAATTGCAAGTTGGTGACAAAGTGGAAGGGAGGTTCTCTGGCTCCCAGGTATGCACATCCACTGCTGCCTGTGAGCTTCCCTGAAACTATGGGAGCAGAAAAACATGGGTGCTGGAAAGTGAAAGTGCAGGTTGACCCTGTTGATGACATCTGATGTGAGGGACTGTTTGGAGATACAGTAAATGGCTCTGGTGATCATAAAACCAGAACAACATACCAGGATTGTTTTCATATGCTTGTTACTCTTCCCTCTTGAGCTTTGAGCAGTTTGGTTAACTGGGAGGCGTACACTGGCTTTCTCAGTTCCTATTATCTATGTGAAAGAGGTTGGCTTTTTGCTTTATCTTTGGTGGTGGTTTTTTTTTTTTCCTTTTTGTCTTTGTTCTCATTCCCTTCCCTTGCAGTTACTGGTTCTAGTGTTGGTGGAGCAGAGCTAAGTGAAAGGTTGTACTTGTTATAGAGAGAGAGAAGCAGTGAATGTGTTACCAGGCTCTTCCCAGAAACATGGATATGATGTTCCAAAATGGAGTTTCATTGTAACCAAAAGATATCAAAATGCTCACTGTGCAGAAGCTGAGAGGAAAGCAGTTCCACCAAAATTGCATTGTCTTCCAAAGACAAAGCATTAATGAATAAAGAAAAAGAAGAAAATATGGACAAATGCAGATTTTGCCAAATATTACTTTTTTTTTACTCCTACTGAGCTATTATCAGGCTTTCTGAAAATAATTGCAAGACTTGCTGGGAGGTATACATTGAAACTATGTTTTTCTTTTGGAAAACTTATTTGAGTTACATAGAGAAAAGAAATGGAAAAAATACCAAGGAGGTGAAATTACTTTTATACATGTTCTGAAGTTTGTTGGCTTGGGGAAAGCAGAGGATAAAGTACTTTCATACTATTATTTAGCATTTCGTTAGTGTCTGTATCAAGGAAACTGTCAGAGCAATGTTTGCCTTTTGTTACAGTGCAAGTGAGCATTTGCAAGAATGTTAGGAGGAAGTTTGGTGTCCTCAGGAGCAGCTTGTGACATAACACAAAGGTTAACCATTCAACTCACATTTTACTAGTTTGCTTTGCTATGAAGACCTCAGAAAAGATGTACCATACCTGCAGTGTGGCAAGGTCCAGCTTCCCTGAGCTATTGCCTTTTCTGTGTTTCCATGTTTTAGCAAATCAGGAAAAGTGATTTCAATGTTTTGTTGTTGGGAATGCCTCTGGACACAAGGGATTTTTACTTCATGAAGCTTGTTTTAGTTGTAAAGCATGTCAGTCTACAGATGATCGTGCAGTTCCTTGCTGTTGTAATGTTGGTGTTTCATCTAAGATGGAGAAGGCATTTTGAGGTTAGACTTGGTTCCCATGCAGAACTGAAGCAGTCTGAGTCTACAAAATATTTCAGGGAAATTCTTTTGTTTCTTTGATTCCTGAGGATCAGTATTTCTTACTAAAAAATGTGTTTACAAAGGAGCTCACCCTGTTGACTATCTCTCCTCCCTAGGATCTGTGCAGTAAATGCCTATTCATCTGACTTGTTCCTCTGGAAAAAGCACTTCTCCTCCTCTCCTTTTTCTTACTTCTCTTGTACTAAACTTTTTTTGTAATGGGTATTTTTGCCATATTACTCATCTGTGTCATATTTTTTAACTTATTTTTAAAATTACCTACTTATCTTTGATATTATGAAGTGAAATGTAAATTAGCCTTTATTTTTTATTATTAGCTTTCCCTCTTTTAATAGGGTGATCATCATGCGAAGCATGTAGGCAGGCAAACGATATCTTCAAAAACATTCTTGGTGCTGGGATAAAACATCATTGCTTCTTGAAATTTCACTGGGAATCCCATAGGGACTCAGCTCTCCTTAGTCAGTAAGCAGCTTGAAAATTGTCTTCTAAAATGACCATCCTGCTGTCTCTTCTGCGCGTGGGAGACCTGAGACCTTGAATTTCATTTCACCTCATAATACAGGATGGCAAAAGGCCAGTAGATGTTTCAAAGAGATACTCTTGTACCACAGACACTTGTCTAATGGTCATCAAACTCCATAGAAGCAAAATGAAAATTGTATCCCACATCCAGTAAGCTTTTTAATTGTCTTTAAATAAAAATAATAAATATAATAATATAATTTAGAAATAAACCTTTCCTTTTATCAAGGGCATCCTTAACATAGTTTTCTGCATGTGGTTAGCCGATGTGCATCAGGAATGACCCAGGGAGAAGGTAGTCTGTTAACAAACATTCTTTTAAGTCTGCCTTTAATCCAGAGGAGTAAGGAGATTTGCTGCTCTCTGAAAAGTTAACTGATTTATTTGAGAAGGGGGTGGTGAGAGGGATCCTGCCTGACACTTTATTTACTTGTTGCCTTTCCTCTCCTCCGCAAGCAACTGTGCTCCTGCAGCCACTGGGCTTTTCTAGACCTTTCCCTGTCTGAGCCTCGAGCTGGTTTCTGAGCTTCTGCTTGGATTGCCCTGTTAATGAGAGGGAAATTTCTTTTTTTGGTCCCTTTCTGTGCTGTTTTCAATGTGTTACAACCTCTTCCCTGCAGAACTACTGCTGTTAAATCTGCCCTCGGCCCCAGTGTTAAACTCTGAAAGTAAGTGCTGAAGTAGAGGCAGTAGCATGGAGTATGTAATCTGAAATGACTCAGATGGTATTCACTGCATCCAAACTCTACCCAGAACATTTTTTTTCACCTTTTCCTCTTCTGCTTTATCTTGTTCCCTCTGTGAAGGTAGAGGACGAACAGGATGTAGCAGAGCCTTACTCTCCTGGTTGAATTCCCTTGACTACATATGGTGCAATAAAATAGATGCTAAATTTGCAAATGACAAAGAACTAGTCTGCTGCTCATGCTGGTGGAGTTGCAGAGAAACTGTAACTGAGTAGCGTTTTGGGGTAGAAAAACAGGATTAATAATTTTCTGCCTATTTTGAATGTGTATTTCTGGTAGTCCAGAATTCAGTACTATAATCACTTTTCTAAACTGTATGAATCCTGGGGATGGGACTATAACTAGCTGCTCCTGTGTCTCATGCATTCCTCTCTTTGCTCTTGCTTTTCTGCCATCTCTTTGGAGAACATCAAAAGGTACTACTAAATGCACTTAAGGGACCAGGGGAAAGGTTAATTGTATGTTGTCTGTGACCTTATGCAAAAGACACTTTTACCTGCCTTTTTAAATTAATTTTTTTTAAAAATTCTAAGTGAAACTTTAGATATCTTTGCAGTTTCAAGTTAGAATACGTTTCCAGAAACTTAACTTTACTGGTGTGTGTGCTTCTTGGCTTATAGTCAATTTTTTTATCCCAGCGGTGCCTTTTGTTTGATGAGGCAAAGTCCGGGCTCTTTTTCCATAATGTTACATTTAGGAGATACCGTGGATTCTCTGCTCTGCAGGCCTGCAGTAGGAATTTCATTTTCTCTGTGATGTGGTGGCTACTGACCCATAATGAATGCAGAGTTGTAGGTGAAGAGTGATGACTGTGTCCTTTTACAGCATTACTACAGTGGCAAGTTGTTACAGTTCAAAATGAAGGGGGGGAAGTTCATGGATTTTTTTTTTTTCCAACTCTAAGTACTGGTTGTTTTGTA